CATCTTTGGATTTGAGACTTTAGTCTTTGCAACTTTACAGATCTTCTTTATGCACCAAGAGCTTGTAACACTCCACAAAGAAAGGAAAAATTGAAATCGCATCATATGACCCCTTTAAAGCCACGTCAGAGGAGGGTTTCTGAAAGTTTGGGCATTATCCTCAACAACATATTACACGCGCTTACCGGTATGTGACACTCTTTGCGTGCTAGGTTAAAGGAGGCGGTTTAGTTGCCCGGCACGGTGACGTTCAAACCCCACCATGACCCCTTCTTTCAGTCAGACTCTATGACAACTTCCTCCACTCCGCACACCCGCCTTTCTTTTATTGTTGCCCTAAACTTGTAATCGTTACAGTTGGGTTGCTGTACCTTTAAGCGCGCGAGCAGCACCCGTTTGGAAGTGACAGGGCTCGAGTTTAACCAGACGATGGCATTTTCCAAACCTATGTGGCAATGTGTCACTTGTGAGAAAATAACGCGATGATGGCATCACGCTGCTGTACTTAAGGCGCTTTCTGTCTACTCCCTCGTACTGCATGCAATGGAGTCTGTGTCGACATGGAGTTCGCCTGGGAATTACATTAGACTTCACTACTTTTACTCGTGCCAGTGCTGCGGTGTATCATCGATGAGGAGTTGTTAACTGCGGGGACAACGAAGACAAGCACACCGACATTATGTCTGATCGGAATTACTGGACGGTGTGTCCGAGTTATAAAAGTCAGTTCGTTTCAGGAGGTTTAGTCAAACGACCCAAGAGGTAACGACGAGTTTAAGCATGTTACTGTATATTTTCCGTGTGATTGATTATTAATCGTCAAGGTTGGTCCGCCAAACTTGCTGTAACTTGGAAAAATCCCACAGGCGCAACCGCGAGAAATGTGCTTGATAATCTAGATCGGTCTTTGAAAATCCCATATAACTAACTACTATGATGGTAGAAAATATCTGCTTTAACATTCTCGATCTCGTTGTGGACAGTATACACTGTTTTTCCACCCAGCCCGTTTTTGTTCCGATAGTAAACGTGGCCCATGTAAGGCAGAGGTCTGCTGCTCATTGTCCTGTTGGCGGTGGATGGTCATATTCTGTTGTCTAGTCTTTAACTACATAATGTTTATATACAGCTTAACGGTCTGTATGGTGGGTCTGTGATGACTGTTTCATTGTTATATTTCGTTTTGAAGTCTTTGTCAACAAAGTATAGTTAGTATGCTCAATAGCAGGCTAATCTGTAGTCAAAAGTTAGGGCATTGAGGTCAAATAAGGGTTTTTTAGTGTTTATTTATAATAATAATTTTTTTTATATAAGCCAAACAAAATTCCCTGCTAAAAAAAAAGAAGAAGCTAAAACCAGCCTAAGCTGGTTGGCTGGTCTTAGCTGGTTTTAGCTAAAGAAGTGGCCAAAAACCCCTTTAAAACTAGCCTGCTGACCACCTAAGACAAGGCTGGATGGCCAGCTAAAACCAGCCAACCAGCTTAGGCTGGTTTTAGCTGTTTTTTTCAGCAGGGATGTATTAAATTATTTTTAAGAAAAAGTGTAATAAAATAAAGCATGTATATGTTGAACGGTGCAAATATTTGCTAGTTAAAAAAAGGTTTACATATTAAGAAATAAACAGTGCTTTAATATATGTGTATATATCTCATTAAACATATGAGATTGTAGAAAATTATCAGTTTTATTCTGAAAAAGCTGTTTTATTCTGCATAGAGAGGGTCGTCCCTTAGTGGGTGCTGCCATGTTGATGTCACATGACCAGCCTTTTTATGCATTTGAGTGGGCAACTACTTATACTAATAGCATGTTTACTACTTAAAACTATCAATGACGATCTGCAGTTTCCATACGCTGACCAAGAATAAGTGTTGTGAATGCACGAAGGTCAAAATGCCTCCGTTCAACTGCAAATGAAAGCCATAGAACAAATAGAATGAAAGAAAACCTCAATGCATCCAGGCCAATAGGTGTCAGTATAAAGCCCCAAACCACTGGTACTATGGTACTATTGGGATGAATAAGAGCCAGCTAAACAAAACCTTACTGAGTTTACCTTTAAATTCAAAGCCTTTAAAGCCAATTGTAACGTAATTATTCTGCAATCTAATAAATGTACACAGGCCTGTTACACCAGGTGTAACGAAATGTTTTTGTAAAATCAAATTGTTAGGTTGTGTTCCAGTACTAAACACATTAACAGACCATCCCTATAGATGGCTTTCATAATGAGGATTGGGAAACGAGTTGTTGGGGGTTTTGTGCCTTTAACAAGAATAAGAGTTTTCTTTCCACAGTAATCGGAACAAGAGGAAGAGTTTGGCTCCCTCGCCTACTCTATCAAGACCGCTCTCACCCCTTCCTTTGCCAGCTGGTAGTTATAATTACTTATTTTTGCTTCTCTCTCAATTATGATAATGATGTTTGATTTGCACTGTGCTTGATGATAAACACCGGGTAGCATAACATGCTTGTGCATCCAGCCCACTGTTTGAATATGCCAATGCCAGTAACACTCTGTAAACAAAGCCTGGCAAAGAGTGCCAGGCAATACAGAGCCACTTTGGTATCCAATAACTCTGTAAAACAACCAGAATGTGCATGTTGATCATAGAAGGTGTTTTCTACAGGCAACAGTCCGCTGGACAGTCCCAGAAATGTCTCCAGCAGTCCTTCAGTCAATTTTCCATTCATACGGAGGTAAGAGAATGAGACTGCATACTACAAACATGTCCACATTTATTCACATTAGTCATTTGTGCTATATCTTATATCTGCCCTTTCATAATGGCAGTATAAAAGCGAGGAATGAGTGGAAAGGTTTCTAGCTGGCCAATAAGATTCTGCATCCTCTGCAGCTGCCCTCAAGGCTGTACCGTGGATGGGAAGCTTGGCATTTGTCACAGCAATTATAGTGAAGTCAGCGTGTAGCCTCATTACTTTACGCTGCCATGATTATGTGCTGAGGCTCCATCCGCTTTTATTAATGCTTACTTGAAATGATGGGATCCTGCTAGCCTCCTTGAACAGCTCAATGAAGATGTAATGAGTTGTTTTTGGTTGTGTCTTTAATGTGCCCTAAAGGCATGCATCTATTTGTGGATAAATGATATGACTGGTTAAAGGTCATTTAAGTTCTTGAAAGTGAAGTGAAGTGTGTTAAAGTTTTGATGTTTTATTTAAATGTTCTATTAGTCTATTTAAAATGCATTTTAAATGTTGCTTATGTAACTTATGTAAATCATGTAAATCTATCTGGTATATAGACTATCGTGCAAAAGTTGGGGTCAGATTTTTTTTTTAAAGAAATTAATACTTTTATTTGCAATAAAGACATTTATAATGTAATAATAGATTTCAATTTCAAATAAATGCTGTTCTTATGAACTTTCTCTTCATCAAAGAATCCTCAAAAATGTATCAGTTTCCACAAAAATATTAAGCAGCACAACTGATAACATTGATGATAATAAGAAAAGTTTATTGAGCAGCAGATCAGCATATTAGAATGATTTCTGAAGAATCATGTGACACTGAAGACTGAAGTAATGATGCTGAAAATTCAGCTTTGGCATCACAGGGAAAAAATGACATTTTAAAATATATTAGAATAGAGAGCAGTTACTTTAAATGTTAGTATTATTTCCCCATATTTCAGTCTTTACTGTTTTTTTTATCAAATAAATGCAGCCTTGGTGAGCATAAGATACTTTTTTCAAAAATATCTACCAAAAAGAAAAAAATCTTGTGACCCCAAACTTTTGATTGTAGGTTTTCAGTCTTTCATTCATGGGACTAGTTATTAAAATAACCTGCATTTTGATAGTTTGGATAACTATCTGAATGGAGATCATGTCTTCACCGTCATGTCTTCTTATATCTCTGACCTATTTTAGACCAGACACGCGAAGGTGGTCTGTAGCATCTGTCTCCTCTGGATATGGAACCAATCCACCCAGTTCTGCTGTTTCAGTGAGTGGGCCCGTCTCAGTTATTCTGAAAAGACCCTCTTTGCTTTCCTTTTCTTGAGCCATCAGTCCAGTTCATCTGCAGTGTTTTTCTTTATAATCAAACAATGCACAGATCACATGTGTTTAAATCATCATATATTAAATGTGTTATTTGTAGATTGTTTGCTTTTGCTTTTGGAGTGCACATTAAGAGCACTTACTAGTGCAGCTAGTTGAAAAAGTATACAGCGTGCTACATTTCTTTATTAATATTGATGCACTTTTCAGTGTTGAAGTCTTCAGGGTCTACAGTAACATTGCAATATGAATTGTGGAGAAATGGTGATTTCCATTCCTAAAAAAAAGTCATGAAAATAAATAACATTTTAAAAATCATGGAAAAGGATGGGGAATTTTGATAATGAATATCCATTTTTTGATGATCAGTTCTGCTCTAAAGTATTTAATTGGCTACATATTGCTTTCTATAAAATTATGATAAAATCATAATAGTAATTGGTAACCTTTATACCCTTTTAATTATATTTAGTAATTTTATTTACATAATCTGAACTGATTAAACCCTGTTCTTGCCTTGAAAATAGCCATGGAATTCATAGAATTCCATTGGTCATGTCATTTGTTATTTAACTACAGGGTTGACCATTGTGGGTAATTCTCACTAGTGGAAATTGATTAATTTCATTGATTTAATTTCAAGGAAATCGTAAAAAAAAAAAAAAAAAAAGCTCTTTCTCTGTTTTGAAATGATATATGGCCATTCATTGCTCATGCGATGAGGTCAGCCTTGTTTAACAATGTCCTATTGAGCCAGTGTCAGTGGAGACTTTATTCAGAGGGAAGCTGTGAAGCTTCTCTGGTTTCCTCCTCCCAGCACTGGTCCTGTCATGTGCCCTTCTGCTCATTCTCCTTTCCCGAGATTTTCAGTCTTAAATTACCATCTGTACCACAGACTACTGCTACCGAGAATGGAAAGTGTCCCGTCCTGTAGTAATCCTGTAGTAATCTTGCATAATTGCACACACTAATAAGCAGCTTTAGACTGTCACATGCTCACCACTCGTGTTTCTTGCAATCTGAGCACACGCGCCCCGCCTTGCTATGCAGACTATTGCTAAACAACTGTTGTTACATTTTACACATCCATAATATTAGGGTGACACAATAGATACACGTAAATGTGATTTGTTGTGTGAATCTGGCTGTGTTTCTGTCTCTCTTGCTCTTTCTTTTGCACTAGTCTTCCTCCTCCTCACAGGAGCTCCTGCACCAGCTGCCCTCCCAGCCCACCCCAGATGACCTCCATCGCCTCTTCAAGCATTTCAGGAGCTCAGAGAGTGTGGCAGATGAGGATGGACAGCCCTTGCCTTTCCGTCCTCGCTCACGGAGTCTTAGGTCTCTGTTTGTTGTAGAGAAAAAAACAAGCTTTAGAAAAATTCAGCTAATATGTGAAATGCAGCATTTTCATAGAGACATTGCAATTCAGTTAGCTGCTGAAATATGTTTGCTGGCATAGAAAATGTGAAATTCCAATTGTAACTTTTGAATTTCTTGATACCAAGTGAATAAGAATGAAAGATTAGTTTGGCTTGTACGTGCCAGGGTGTTACTCACTTACTTGCTCTTATACAGTGATGGGAAAAAGTTTGCAAACACCGTATTTTAATTAGCTAATGCTTAACAATACACTCTGCTTGACACATTTAGCATGGAAAATCTACAAAGATTTTATGTTCTAAACAATGATTAATTTCTCTGGCAAAATTCTCTTAACCGGTAAGAAATTCAAAAATATGACCCAATAAAATTATACTACTTTATTTAGTAAATATTTATCTTTCATTTATTCATCTTTATGCCTTTCCAAACCTATATCACTTTATTTCCTCTGAGGAACACAAAAGGGGGGATTTTGGAAGACAGTTTTTCATGCAATTGCAAGCTTCAAAAAGGAGGCAAAAGTGTTACAAATTTTGGTATTTTTCCTCACACAAAGTTATCATAAGGTCTCCGGAGACTTCAAATATACTGCACAATATTGCTATTTTAGTATTATTTATATACTATTATAGTATTTATAAATATTTAGCTTTTTTTTTTTTGCTTTTTTAAATTTATTTATCATTTAAAAAAATGTATTAGTGCTTTTAAATATTTATATTTAGCTTTATTTTTATTTCCAATAAGAAAAGTTGCCGGGACAGCATTTATATTTTTAAGTTTATATTTATTTATATTTAATATTTATATTTTATTTCAGATTTATTTCAATCACTGAAACCAATTTTTTTTAAAAGTTTTATTAAAAAGAAATATAAAAACACCGGTGCGCAAGTCATACTGAGAGCCATTCTCATTTTTTCATGGTGCTTTTGTGTCCTTTTTTAAGCCAAAAAGCTTCAGTTCCCATTCAGTGTAATTGCACTGAAAAAAAGCAACCAAGGCCTTCACAGTTCTTTTGTGTTTGTCAGAAGTCAGTCAGTCATGGACAGGGTTTGTAATGAAATGAGGGTGAGTAAATGATGACAGAATTTTCATTCTGAAGTTAATTTGTTTGTATAAAATAAGAAAAGTAGATGTGATCAATTTAATGTAACTGAAGTATTGTTTTGTTTTGTAGCCCTGGGCGGACATATGGCTCTTTTGATAACGAGATTGTGATGATGAATCACGTCTACAAAGAACGGTTTCCAAAGGTAATTGAGCTCTGACATTTAAATTGTTTTTCATCATGGATGTGGATGCCACATCATGTTATCACATGTTGTTTACTTTGTTTAAATTGTGGCTGTGGGAAAATTGATGGCCTGGTTGGTCCAAACAAAACAAATGACAATTGTCACCTACGCAGTCTCACAGCGTTTTATCACCCTTGCAGGCTACAGCTCAGATGGAGGGGCGTTTGCTGGCAGTGATTGCAGACTACTCTCCAGACAGCGCACCTCCTCTTGCTGATGGAGTGCTGGGCTTCATTCAACACCAGCTGGTCGAGCTCGTCCGAGACTGTCTGGAGAAGTCCAGAAAGGGGCTCATCACATCTTGCTACTTTGTGGAACTTCAGGAAAAATTAGAAAATTTCCTACATGAGGTAGAAACATATTCCATACCTGTATTGAAGTGAAAAATGACAGATTTTGTATTGTCATGTGGACATTTGCATCTGATTATAAATGATTGGTTTATAGGGCTGTGTATCACCAGCAAAGATACGATACGTATCACGATACAGAGGCCACGATACGATACATATCACGATACATGACTGCACTGAATTTCACCTCTCACCATACTTGGCCACATGTCACGTCACTCACATGTCACGTCACTCACATATAGGTAATGGCATATGCTTCATGTTTACAGTTACTACTAGTTACATTGTGCACTCCCCACCAGGTACAATATTCTGATTGTTTGCATCTTGTTTTTAAGCCCATAATAATG